TATGTACTTTATGAATTGTAAGTTTCGAATAAATTACATGGATAAATTATAAGAACGAGAAAGAGTATACGATAAACAAGAAGATATGCAAACAAAAGTTTACTTTTTAAAGTCATAATTCGATACAAGAGGAAAAAACTAAAAAAAAAAAGATTGAGATAGGCGCAGAGAAGGTATCCAAGAGAGAATCGATCGACCATGCTTTTAGCGCCTAAATTTAATTCAGCGTTGCCTGATTGAGACGAAGGGTGTTACACGCAATTTGCCGCGTTTCGCCATAATAACTCGGCGAACCCTTCGGCATGTTTTATGGGTATTACCCTGAGTATGCATAACTCACGGTCCAGCGAGTAGATTTCCGCGAACGGCGCGAACATTCGTCAGCTAAGAATTTGTTGAGATAACAAAACGCGATATTTCGGCTGTAACGATTTATGTTTTGATGGTTACAATCTCTTCAGTTGAGACGTTTTGACTAGAGAAACTTTTTGAACGAATCTCCGTAGAAGAACACAGAGGAGAAATCAAGACGATAAACAATTTCGAGCGACAATTGATCGTCGAATAGTGTAGGAATCTTTTGCAGAAGAGTTGTCTTCGTAAATTGAAATCGTAGAACCAAAAAAAACGGTGGCAATCGTGATTGTGACGATTGTTGTCACACACGCGACATTACATTTGTCGAATAACACGTTTTTTAATTAATAAAACAATAAAACCAAATATAGGTTCAAATGAATAAATCAAATATACACATTACACACTATGTGTACAATTATTTTATTAAAAAGTGCATTAGACGTTTTGACCTCAGTTCTGGATCATCCTCGGTACATAACTGATGTATTGTAAAATCTAATATTACATAATGCGGTAATATATATCTGTGCGCTAAGAATATCAATATTACGTATAAAAAGTCCAATTTTCGAACATCTCAGTATCTGGCAGGATACTTAGATTAGCGAGCCAATGAACTAGAAGTCGAGGAATAGCAAATCTTAGTTATCAAAAATTATTATACAATAAAAAGAATTACTCTTTTACAGTTAAAAGATAAAATTAAGTGCTGTCAATTAATGCGTAATATTAAATGCTGGAGTATGAAATATTGACTTTCGGTTAATAGTGAGAGGTCGATACGATAGGTTCGTTCTTTTTTCTCCAACGTGGAGAGAAAAGGAAGAAAGATGAACTCTGCAAGAACCTTAGCTAAAAAGAACAGGCCAAATATAATTTCTCGATTACATATATGAGCGTTAGGTGAAATTCGCTATGTGTTTACATATATCGGTATACATAATTTAGAGGTATATCAGTTTTTTAAGTGTGTCAGTGAACCGCAGGCTGAAGAAATTGTCGAATCTCCAGTGTTTTCCGTTATCTAGATAAAATTATCTAGATAATCATCTAGATGAAGAAATGGCTTTATCTTATCTTTATGTAGATTATTAAGAATATATACCGTCTTTATCTTATCTTAGATTAAAAATAATGTTATCTTTTTCAATTTATCTAAGATTGTAGAAGAGTATTGTAAGAAATTTTTTATGTAAACGATCAACCTCCAGTAGTAGTAGTGACGAAGATTTTTTTCGCAATATAAACAAAAAATTGGGTAGTTTGACACCAGTCATTCAAAGCGACATTAAAGTATTTTCATATTTAGAAAACAAATCAAAAGAATTAGATATTCTAAATTTATATCCACACATTAAACAAATTTTAAAAATATATAATACATCATTGCCATCATCAGCGATAGTAGAACGTTTTTTTAGTTGCGGATATCAAATATTAATTCCATGTAGAACCCGTTTATTAAATTCGAAAAACTTTTATAATATTATTTATAAAATATTTATGAAATATATTTATAAAAATAATAAATATATTTTTTGTATCCTAAATCGTTTTACTACCAAATAGTTACTTAAAAACAAAATCATCTTATATAAAAAATTTTTTTATATTTCACATCTTTTACCTAGATTAATAGATAAATATAAAATGAATTATCTTCATCTTATCTAAAATACATTTTTATGTCATTTATCTTATCTATATATCTAGATAATTTTGAATTATCTAAGCGCAACACTGCGAATCTCTCTGTAGCCGATCAACAGAGTTGGAAAATTTGTCGTGACGACAAATGTCATGCCAACCTATCGAGTTATGTTTACCTTGTTCGCATGTATATACGGTTTGCGGAACGTGAGAAAAGTATCTAGAGGCATCTCGTTAACGACGGAGGAAACACGCCGAGGATGCTGCGTTTTCCTCGACGAATGATACTTTATCTTACGTCGGCCCGCGGTCGTTAAGATCTCCATCATAACTGTGTGAAAGTGCAAGAAGCCGATGGAACTGTTTGGTACGGCACGTGAGTTGAAAGTGAGCAATTTCATGTCTGGCGCATACGTGACGGGGCCTCCTGATACCCGGTTCGCGCGCGGCGTATTCCGCGTACGAGCCGCGTGTGTGCGTGAGCGCGCGCGTGGGAATTTCGGATACGATTTGATAAGGATTCACGTCGACGAAGTTAGAGCTACTCCAAGGGCAGCGACACACAGCCTTCTGTATTCCGCGCGCGCGTCTGCCATGAGTCTTGATTCCAGCCGGCGTCGCGTCGGCTTTGACTAGACACGCTGGTATTCGATATACTCGAGAGACACGTAAATTGAAATTTAACGCTCTTGAAAATATATCTCGCCTCGGTGTTTGGACGTCTTTTCGGATTTTTTCAGCGATTGAAGAAGGTCGCCATCTAGGTGACACGCAATTATAAACACAGAGTACTGCGTAAAGTTATTTAAAAGGGCTGTTAAACTTTTGCTGCACTGAAATCTTTTATCTTTTCCAAATAATAGTTGATGATAAATAGTCATATGTTTGACACACAAGTCACAATTCTAGCAACGCAACACTGTTTTATACACTGTGTGAAACGCTTATACTTCATCACTTTTACTTCACCATCGTATAGTAAAATAAAGAAAAAGATCTTTATATCAAAATATTATCAAATGTAATCTTGAAACTTCTTATCAAAATATTGCTCCTAGAAAAATATTGATAATGAAATGTATAAAAATTTGGTATCACGCGGAATAATATAAAATGACGACTGATTAAATAATTAAACGGTCAAGATCGAGCTAAATGAATTTAATAATAATAATTATTGTTCTAAAATTTTACAATATAAACAAATTTTTTATGGATATTTTTTGTTAATTAGTTTTTTTTACATATTTAGAAATCAATAATTCATATCATTTAGCTTGAGAATTAGAAGATTACGCATTACATAATATCATTATTTTTAAATAAAAATACAAATATATATATGTACTGTTTAAATTACTATCACTTTTTAGTTTGTAATAGCTATAAAAATGTTAGTATTTGGGTCTCACTTTTGTTTAATTAAAAAAACGAAATACGTTTCAACAAAATGTATCTTCGTTTACAATTAAAGCAATTTAAAGAGATTTCACATGTTTAAAAGAAAAAAATTATTATTACTTTAAAAATTAAAAAATAATCATCTAAGTGCAGATATTGTATGTTAAAAATGCGTATATTAATCAAAGTTGATTGGTTTGTTTAATTTACATGGGGTTATTTACGGCTGATGAGGACTCTGTGAAGTCGAAACGTTCCGTATATCAGTGTTAATATTATAACAAATTTATATATACAAATATATTTGACAACCAGTATAGCTCAATTTGTCTTTATTATTTTTTAATATTTGAAATTTATTTGAACGGATATTGATTCAATTTAATTTATTATTACTTTGGTAGTTGGGAAATAGTTTTGGAATAGAAAGTTATTTTTTCCTTCAAGAAGTACACATACAAGGACATATTATGTTGCTGTTATGTTACTTTTTATAGTATTGCTCATTATATACTTTAATTGTCTACATGATTATTTTGATAGTCCAATGAAATTATTTTCAGGTTCGTACCGACATTTTTAGATACTTCTGCAAAATCGTTCTTTGCGTAGAAATGATTACGTAAGCAATTCAATAGAAAAACACAAGCATTATGTTCCGCAGATTTAAAATATTAATATAAATAATAAAAGATCAAATTTACTGTTAAGCGGGGAGCACAGACTTTTGCATAACGCATAAAAGCATGTGCATAAGGAATTTCATTGGTCCATTTTCTTATGCATGAGTCAATGGACCAATCAAATTCTTTATGTATATGGTTTATGCGTTATGCAAAAGTCTGTGCTCCCCGCTTTAAGGTGCGTCTAGACTATCGAGCCGAAACGTGAGCCGAACCTAGAGCCGAGCCGAGCCGCGAGCCGAGTCGCGAGCCTCGAGCTGAGTCGCGAGCCGAGCCTCGAGCCGAGCCGAGCCGTGCCTCGAGCTGATGAACCGAAATTTCCTCGAGCCGAGCCGAGCCGAGCCGCGAGCCGAGCCTCGAGCTGAGCCGAGCCGTGCCGAGCCGTGCCTCGAGCTGATGAACCGAAATTATCGAAAAAAAAAAAAAAGAAATACGGATCGCTTGCGACGCTTGTGAAATTTGGTTAGAGCTCGACTTGATTTCGACTCCGAAATTCAGCTCGATAATTTCGGTTCGAAACTCATCAGCTCAAGGCACGGTTCGGCCTGTGGTTCGGCTCGGCTCGCGGCTCGGCTCGAGGCTCGCGACTCGGCTCGGCTCGAGGTTCGGCTCGTGTTTCGGCTCGATAGTCTAGTCGCACCTTCAAGACTATTCTCAGGTAAAGGACAAAAACTGCAGAAAACTTTTAAACGAGATGATGAACCGTAGATAACAAGTGTATCGTAAATACTATTAAAGTACTGTCTGATGTTATTTAAAACATTTTTGCACGGCGTCGAGCAAATATATTTATAAAATGACATGCGACAGGCACTTTTAAGTATGAACACGCGTTTGAACGAGTCACGTGGCCTCGCTGCCGGGATTATGTTTTGATTCCTCGTTTGTTTGTTTCGTAGTGCGATGAAGATTTCAGGCACGAAATATTTGCGAGAGTAGTCCTCGCACAGTGTAAACTGTAACTCATGTGCTTCAGTAATAATGAAAATAAACTCGATATAAAGGAATATATCGATTTGGAGAAGCGAACGAATAACGGGTAAGAGGTTAGGAGCACACGGCGGGAAAGCAATGAAACATACGTGTCGTGTTTACAGCAAGGCCGCATGCGTTACGTTCTACAGGTGTTGATTGATGATCGTGATTTGTATCATCGTTACTTTAATAGGATCGTTTATATGCGCGTTGATCAAAGCCGAGATGGACGAGTGGCTCGGAGAATCAAGGTAGGCAGCATCCATGTGTCACGAGAACAGACGTTTTATAGGTTAGCTTGGTGATCCAAGCATGGTGTCATAAACCTGCCTCGACTAACGCTTAAATTTAACGTTTCGAGGACTTTTCGCGTTGCTAGACATGCTCGATAAAAGCTTCTAGATTTGTTCGTTTATTTAATCGTTCTCGTATTCTTTCAGCACGAAGGGGCAATCGAAGCTGTCTTTGAGAAGGAACTGTACCAATGAGTCATCAAATCCAGGCAATTTGATAGAGTTATCATCAGACGATGATAGTATTGATTTACCATTGAATTTGCAGAAAAATACAAAAGAATATAAGAATGTAACAAGTCACGGAACAACTAGCATTCTGAATAGTGTAACAGATGCTTCCAAGTGTAATTCGGAACATAATACATCAGATAATTTGAGTGACGATGACATTATTGTTGTTGATCATGTTTCTAATAATGATACTTCTTATAAGAGCCAGTCGATGTTTAATTGGAATAAGCCAATCTCTGATCCACTCTCTCGAAACATTTTTCCTGAATGTAGTAGTTCGAGGAAAAATGTGATAGAAACACCTAACAAAAGGCGAAAGCTAATGATAAATAATTCAAAAAGTTCAGATTCAAGTTATGGTGAGGATGATTTTATAGATTTTGACTTTCCCAAGAAAGATGATTCACCACCTCAAGTTGGAATACATCATGAAATAATGATTGCTGGAACCAGAGTCAAACTTCCTGTTAAGCCATATCCATGTCAATTAGCAGTGATGAATAGTGTAAGTATGATTATATAGTTATACTATGACTATATAGTTAAGTCAATATCATTGCTCTTTTATCATAGTTTCATTACAGTCCTCTGTTTGCAATTCAAGTTTATTTACTACAAGTGAAATTTCATTCAAACGTTTACCTTAAGTTTTCTTCAAATCTCAATAACGTTTGAATTAAAAAAATCATTTGGTGATATTATTAGAGATGTTGAAAGGTAACGTTGAATTTTTCCACATTTTTTGAAAGTTTGAAACAATAAAAAAAATTGAGCCGGGTAAAAAATAATCAGATTGCAGACAGAGGAGCAAAAATATAATGATCATATTACACAAATAGTGTTATTTATCTAATTAATGTTAATTATATGTTAAAAATTATGTGCAGCTCATTGCAGGATGTACTAAGGAGCAGAATTGTCTCTTAGAAAGCCCTACTGGCAGTGGTAAGACTTTGGCGCTTCTCTGTGCAGCTTTGGCATGGCAAGAGCAGTACAAAGGTGAGTTTGTAATACGAATATTATCTATGTATACACATTAAATGCATATCGAGAATTAAAACAGAAACATTAGAATTTAATTACAGAAATTATTGCAGCAATTGTTGCGTAATTTTTCTATCCATTTATGAGATCGCGTTTCACAATTAGACGATTACATTTTTGAGATACAGTCTCTCAATTACGCAATAAAAAATAAAATAAATTATTTTGCATACTAAATTATGTTGAAAATTCACGTGCACGCTTAGACGTTCGAATGATGCATGCTCCCACGCGATCCATCATATGATATTCATTAATGTCCTACCAATCGTGCTCGTGCAGCGTTTTCCACGGCTGCGATTATGTCTGTCCCCAAGATTTATCGAGGAGCTTCGCGAAAATCTCGTTTCGTCGTCGTGTAGCGTCTCGTGACGGTCGGTCGTTAATGTCAACCGTTCTTTTGCTTCGCTGTAACACGTGTACACATGCCTGCTCACCGCTATTATCGGATTTTTGACTGTCACACGAATTTGGAAAATTAGGCAGATCAAGCCATCACCCATCGCGCTTGTCTCTCCTTCGCTTCGCGGTAAAGCACCATTCTTATTAAAGTTTCCCCCAAAGTTCGTCGACGTTTTACTTATCTCGTCAAAACTTTATAAGTCTTTCGGATAATTTCTCGACGCGCTGTTATACGATTTGTTACGTCCGTCGGATCGTTAGCTCAATCGCAAGCTTTACTTCATATTAATATTATTGTTATATCTTTTTTTTTTTAAATATAGCAAATCGATTTGAAAAATTCTATGTACTCTTATAAATATGGGACTTCGCATTAATTATGTAGAAAATTGCGTCCCAATAAAATGTGTTTGTTTTTATGTTTGTTGTACACTTGGGAAAAAAATGTACTAAATTTCATGAATATTTGTTTAAATAGTACTAGCTGAATATTTACTAAATGTAAACATACATTTATTTTATACAAGAACCATTAATTAGCTCATTTTTTACTAAATAAATATTTACTGTAAGTAAATATTAAGCATTACTGGTATGGTGTAGTACTATTATTTAAAAAAAATTATATTAAGATTTAGTGAATGTTTTCTCGCTGTTGTGCTTAATGCTTATATAATATGGTTAATAAAAGATATAATAGACACAAAGTTCGATATCTTGAGTTATAGTATTACATTACAAATCAAGAATTATTCATTATTGAGCCTTGTGTCTATATTACGTCTTTCGTTTACCACGTTATAAGCTAAGCTACAACATATGTAAGAACGAACTCATTTCGTTGGGACTTCAATTTTCCACATAATTAGTGCGAGGTTCTTTGCATGTAGACGTGACATGTATTGAAAGAGCATTCTTACTTTACATGACATATTTATTCACTGCGATATTTCGCGGTTAACTCGTTAATGCGGCCGAAATAAAAAATTGCTCTGCAGATGTTTAATTTATGTCAATTTTTTAAAATGGAAAAATCCTTATAGAAGTTAATTGCGGATCATAAATATTGCGCGATCAATTCTCATGTATAAATACCACGTTGCGCCGAATGGGAGAATTTGAGCATATTTAACTACAGGTGGAAAAGAGGCGCAGACCCTTGTTTCCTCGCCAAGAAAGTCATTTCGACCGTCAGCGGTTTCTTGGCTATGATATTAATTTAAATTATTCAACCGTTTATGTGCACCACCAGGTAATAATCCTTACAATCACGGAGTCACCGGTAACTTCGACTCTGCACGCGTGCATGCAGCTAATTGTTCGCGATCCGTGCAATTTCTAAACAATTAGATTTGCCTTTGCAATGCGCGGTGTCCCGTACCGTCCTCGGTCGTACCAGTCTACGAAAAACAGCGGCCAAGCATAATCGTTTTTCGTTAGTATAATGCGCCGAGAATATATTTTCGTTCAATGTCGGGCGTCCGATGGTCGCTTTTGTACACATTATTCTATCTACCTATAGCGATAAGATATTGGCATCTACGCTTTTGAACAAATGCCGCCAATAGTATAACCTGCACAGCGTTTTGCACGTAAAGCCCTGCGCACAATAGAAATATTAGGAATAGAAATAGAATAAAATATTGAAAATAAAGAAGAAATAGAGAGATTTAGAAAATGTATTAGACAATAGGTACAAATAAGATTTATAAATATGTATCTTTTGCGTAAAAATATCTTATTTGTATTCATTATGCGTTACGTTTAAGAATATATGAGGTGTATAGTCTCTGAAAAAAGCGACTGGAATTGAAAATTCATATTTTTTGTAAAGAAATTAATATAATATACATGAGAAGAACGAGTATGTTAAAGTATGTAAAAATTTAGCTAATAATAAATATACAGATCTAAAAATAATTTTATTTAAGACATAGAAATAATTATGTAAAACACTCAAATTAGTAGACGAAATGTTTTATAATGTAAAACTTTTTGCAACGTTATGATTAAAGCTTAAAGGTTTTACATAATTATTTTGATAATCTAACAAAATTATTTTTAAGTTTTTATTTAGCTACATTTTTAGATACTTAGCAAAACGATTTTTTTCTTGTATGTATAAAAAGTTTCAATAACGTTAATATTTATGTTTGACAAAATAATTTTATAGTTTAAATAGACATTTTCTGATTTTATTTTAATTATTTTTTGAAAATATGTCTATTGAAATAATTTGTTATCTACATTCTAAATCGTTGTTACATTTTTTGCAGATACGTATTGCTTTTAAATACATTATAGAAGAATCTCTAATTTTTTCATAATTTGTCCATTTTTTGTTAACAAAAAAAAAAACACGTGCAATACGTTTATTTTTCTAATATGCCTTTTATCGTGCGCGCAAGGTTTAACTCTATTGCATTTTAATTATAATATATCTGTAGAGTTTTAGAGCTTGAGTTCGCAAAAAATTTTCTGACGTAGCGAATCAAAGTATGACATTGTAATTTCATTTAAATTTTTATATTGTGCACGTTATTTAAGATATTCCTCGTAACACATTCAATCACAAGTCTAATGATATTGTTCATTGTTTTGTTGAAACATATGTAGTTTTCTTGATCTTAATCCCACCTTATCTAATGGAATTGTATTGTCGTTTACGAGATTTATTATACTCAATCAAATATCCATATTATTTATCCCATCGAAAACGTTTTGTGGTTACAGCCATCAAGGTTTTTCTCCAAGGAGGCAACTAATTTAAGGAATCATTAAACTTAGTAATTTATTGTACATAATTCTATCTTAATGTGCTATATCGTTCCTTGTAGGCAAATGTCGACCAATCGGAAGACAATTGTGTCGCAACTTATGAATTTTTTGTCTTTATATCACGGGATTGGATTTCGTGAAAGGTTAGCCAAAACCTGTATTAGTCCGATGTCGAGTTATGTTCTGATCATTTATAACATGGGCTAAAGTGCATATCGCGACAATGAGGCTGAAACGTATTCGACGATCGCGTGCCATTTCGAGCTGCACGAGCGACGAATTAAATGTTCCGCGATGTTAACGTCAAATTTGCGTGAGCAACGTCAGGGTCCGCGAGGACGACGTAGGACGGACAGAACGTCTCCAGGAATATACCGGGGAGGACAGCACGAACCGTCGTCGCCTTCCGGAATTATGGACGCGTCCTCCCCGAGTCTCGTCCTCGTGACATCGCGTCACAAATCGAAAATTACCAGGCACGCGAAGGTTCTTTTTCTTTAACAATGTTTTTACGAAGAGACGATCAAAGCAGTTCCAGTATTCAAGCATTTCCCCTCGTTGAACGTATCATCACTTTTTATCGTCGTTGAACAATGTTACATGCACATTGTGCCAATGCAGTAGCATCGAATGACATAGAATTGAAATCGATTTCTTTTACTATGATAAATAGTAAAAGCAGATAAATACATATATTATAGTATGTTTAACTGTAGACAAAGAAAGAAGGTAGAAAGTATAAATTTTGAACAGTTGTAATTTTAATTTCCTTTTCTATAAAGTTATGAGAATTTCTGTATTTTTAAAGGGAAATATATATCTCGTGTCTGAATAATAAAATATAATGGCAGTTTATGCGTTACGTTAAATGAAATTTATGTTTTTGATGATATCACGTAGGCAATTAGCTGTCACTTACGATTCGTTCTTATTGTTAGTTCGTAAATACGCATCCCTAATTAGGCAAATCAGGATAGAGCGACTCGATGGGAATTAGTCATGATAGCGATTTTCGTATACATGTAGAAGGGATATACGTGCGTAGGTGTGTCGCTTTGCACGACATCCTGCTTTTCCCAGTTATAATTTGCTTTATGCTTTAAACCTGGCGCTGTCACGCTCTGCCGGAGGTCGAGTGGTACTGCTAGCCGCCAAACTGTAAACTTAGCTCGTTGGAGAGTCGCATAAATTAGGTCCTCGAAAGGGAATAGAGAATTTTCTAACCGTCGCGGTTTAATCGATATCGCCGTTGCCGTCGGCTCGCCGGAGACTTGTTTCGAATATTTATGTTAGTTTTCTTTCAAAGACGCAATTAATCCCCTTGGATACGTAATCAAAGTCGTATAGACGTCTAAACTGCAGCGCGGTTCAATATTTTATTTCTAAGCTTGGGAAATAGAAAAAGAAAAGACAATAACATGTATACGGATATTTACGCGTATCCGTTGCAAGTGGGAGAGGTGTTGATAGAGAAGGAAAATGCGAAACTTGAGGATTCAGCCACTTTGTTTGGCGGACCGTTGCACATACGGCTCGCGTGTTTTACGTGCCAACCATAGTGCCCGATTAGTTTGACGTAACATTTATACTGGAGAATTTGAAAAACTTTAAATCGTTCGTAGAACGGAGGAGCGTGATGCGCCGCATCGCCGGTAGAAGGGGAAGGGACAGATCGAGAGGGTTGGACGAATAAATTTCGAAAGTTTATCGCGAAATCGCATGCCGGCTAATGTCACTTTATTACCAGCAGCAGGAGACGACGACGTGGAGACAGG